AGTGTGTTACTAATACATGTTTATCATCAGCAAAATGGTGACATCTAGAAATAAGGGGGCCTGCAGTTGTGGCCTAAAAGATGGCTGCAGACTTTGTGTCTATGTGGTATGCCCACAAATTGAAGTGAGTGCTATTGCTGAACATTGAGCTTAGCCGCTGTTGTGAAAGAGAGTGTGAGAGAAAGAGACTGCACTCCACACCCATGGGTTTTGAATTAGAAAGCTGCTTGCTCCTGCAGTGCTGGGTGTATGTACCCAACATACACACATCTTGCCATCTAGGATAGGGAGGGTCGCTCACACTACAAGTTTTCTGACAGGCTTCAGAGAAGCCACACACTACCTACAGGTATAAACATTTTAAAATAAGCTCTTTTTTTTTTTTAAAGCTGAACAGTGTTTTTTTTTTTAATCTACTGTAGGCACCTGAATGCATGGTAATTTAATTTTATTAGAAAAGTGAACTCACCCTTTGGGAATACAGGGGCATTCATTGGTTAACATGGCATGCTCTCATTAGAAGCTAAAGGACAAACAATGAAGTTGCAATTCTGGCAGCAATCATTTTCTAACTTCAGCTTGAAAAGGCAGTTTAAAAGATGACAATACAATCGTAAAGAAGTGAGAAAGAATGAAACCAACTTAGCATTTGGCAGAATGGACAATAGAAATTAATCAACTCTAGCTCACAGGGAAACAAGATGCAGATGTAGTTTAAAAGGCAGTGAGAATGAGAAGCTGGTCTCTTTATGATACCCAGTTATGAAAAACTGGATTCATTGTGACTTTATCAGCAGACAAAGAAATGATCTTGGATTAAATGAATTGAGACACATGAATATGATAGATAACATCACTCAGTCTTATTTTTTCATGGCGTTGTTTAAAGGCTAAGTTCACTTGTTATAAGTCATGCCTGTAATCAGGGACATTGAATCTTGAGTGTGCTCCCAACATTACTAAAACAAGCTTGCTAATGCAGCTGCACTAAGCTCAGCCACTGTGACAACAGGTAGAGTATTACACATGTCATAAAAGAGGGAAACCACTTGCTTCTACATTTATTACAAAGGCAAACTTAGTCTTAAAGTGGTACTAAAAGTAAAGTTTTTTTTTTTTATAACAAACATGTCATACTTACCTGGTCTGTATAATCGATTTGTACAGAGCAGCCCCGATCCTCCTCTTTTTGGGTCCCCTGCTAATGCTTCTTGCTCCTCCCCCCTGCTGAGTTCCCCATCCGTAAGCAGGGCCTACAGATATGACGTCATAATGCACGCCAAGCATCCAGTCCAGAAGCGGGACTGGACTGAGAATTGTTGCGAGATTGCCTTATTGGCTTGCTGTATATTTAAGTGTGCACTTTTGATGTTTTTAATATATTGGTGGTCTGTACAATCTATTTGCACAGAGTAGCCCCGATCCTCCTTTTCTCGGGTCCCCTGCTGATTCTTCTTGCTCCTCCCTCCTGCTGAGTTCCCCATCCATAAGCAGGGCCTACAGATGTGACATCATAGTACACGCCAACAGGGGCGGACTGACAACTCATGGGGCAATAGGGGATCATGGGGCCCCTGTGTCCTTGCCCAAACTCAAAAAAACCTATGAAAAAGGTACCAGGGGCATCTCATGGGGCCCCCTACTGACCCCGGGCCCTTGGGCATTGCCTGAGTTTCCAAATGGTCAGTCCGCCCCTGCACGCCAAGCATCCAGTCGGGAAGCAGGACTGGACTGAGAATTGTTGCGAGATTGCCTTATTGGCTTGCTGTATATGTAAGTGCGCAATTTTGATGTTTTTAATAAATTGGTGATCTGTACAATCTATTTGCACAGAGTAACCCTGTTCCTCCTCTTCTCGGGTCCCCTGTTGATGCTTCTTACTCCTCCCCCCTGCTGAGTTCCCCATCCATAAGCAGGGCCTACGGATGTGATGTCATAACGCATGCCAAGCATCCATTCCAAAGCTGGACTGGACTGAAAATTGTTGTGAGATCACCTTATTGGCTTGCTGTATATGTGAGTGAGCACTTTTGATGTTTTAAAGAAATTGGTGGTTTTAACTGTACTATGCAATGAAGGTTCTGCTTTCTAAATGCCACTATCACTGAGGAAAATATGTGCTGATTGGTGGAGATTTGGATCTTTTAACCCTTTATAAATAGGGTGGCTCGATCAAACTCAGTTCAAAATAAAATCAATAAGCATGTATGAAGATTTTCTTTAACTCTTTAATAACCAATTTTTTTGTGCACCATTACAAATTATTTTTGTACCCTGGCAAAAGCATGTTTCATAGTATGCATCTCCCCAAAACCTCTTAGAGAACAACTTTTTTAACATGCAACTATATTCTATCAAATGACCTTGCCCATTAAGACTGTGGCTAATTTGCTTTAGAATATATATGACGTGATAAGAGTAAGCAATGCCAACATCCCTTGAAATACAAGCAAGTGACAACATAAAGATATGGGAATGTTTAGGCATGCCCACTCAAATACAACATCTTTCACATGCTCAACTATAACTTCCTGCTCCCATATCAATCAAAGTGTAGTCACAGATGTTGCAACCAAAAACTTTATTGATTCTTGTGTGGGAATAGCCCATTTCAAAATACTTTCTTTGTCAGCTTCTGGAGGTAGGCTCTGCATATGAAAAAAATAAAATAACTAATACATATAGGTACGCTAGGATTATATAGGTTATCCTGATGAAACTGATAGAGATACGCCCATCGGTGAAACGCGTTGACACCACAAGGCCAGTGACGTTACTTATGGCCACACATAGCTGCGGGTGAACAAACAGCCAGGTTCTAGAGCGGAACATATGAAAGGAGAGACAAATTTTGTGGTCTTTCAGAGGAGTGGCAACAACACAATCCAGTGAGAGTGCATGATACAAGACATTACTGGATACAGCAGGAGAATCAGATACAGATACAGTGGGATGTATACCAGCACAAAGCGTGGTGACATCCACTTTAGCCTTATAGGAGCAGTTGACCCATATTAGTGTGTAGCTCTACCCAAGAGGGATCATACTAGCAAAAATAATGAAAAATTCACAATCTGGTTATTTATCCCTTATAGTGGCCACAGGTGACTTATTTTTATCATATTTTAATGGGGACAGACAACATTGTCTGGGGTGTGGTGATGAATGTGCTTTTGTATTTTATCACATTTTGTAACAGTTATTTAAATTTTTGCTATAATACATTTATTCCCCTTATTATTATTATTCAGGATTTATATAGCTCCAACAGTTTGCTCAGCGCTTTACAATATAACGGGAGACAATACAGCAACAATACAGTTCAATACAAGAGGGTTAGGAGGCCCTGCTCCTTGGAGCTTAAAGTCTAATAAACAATCTGGTATATCAGTCCCTTTTTTACATTATTTTGTTTCTTTGTATGCTGTTTTTGGTTACATAGTACTTCACTGATTCAGTGTGGCCGGATACCAGCAATATAATTGCTCTGAATTGTATTTTTAACTCTGTTTATACAGTATATCTCTATATGTGCTGAAAAACCTCTCTGACAGGGTACATGACAAAACATACTTATCAGTCAAAAAAGAGCTTCAAAAGCACATTCCCAGCAATGCAGACACTGCATTTACCACAGCGACCAAACATCCTGCAGAGACCCCAAAAATACACAATGATAGATCGATCACTAGGGCGCTAAATAATATAAGAAAACTGCCATAGCCAAGTGCTCATTTTACTGAAAGGCAACAAAAAAGGTTATAAACTTTATTATATTTAATTATAATTATGAGAATGAGTAGGAAAGGATGCACCATTTGTGTATCTGTATTTGAGCTGGCATGCCTAAAAAGTCACATCCGGTTAAGTTTTCACTTGTATGTAAGACTGTAGTTATTCTGCCAAAAATAAATAAAGTGATTGTAAAGGATTTTTAAAATAACAAACATGTCATATTTACCTGCTCTGTGTAATGGAATTGCACATAGCAGCCCGCAACCTCCTATTCTCGGGTCCACCACTAGCACTCCTGGCTCCTCCTCTTCTGTGAGTTCCCCCCATAGCAAACCACTCACTATGGGGACACTTGTACAGACTCGATCCTGAGTTGCGCTGCCTGCGTCCATAGGCACAGAAAGAGTGGCTCAGCTCCACTCAAGAATCGTCACAGGATTTGAGATAATGGTTCCAGCTGCCTCAGCAAGACCTATGAGAGCAGGGAGAGAAGGCAGAGTCACTGCAGGCGGGCACAGCTCTAGATCGAATACTCGATAAGGGGGATGGGGTAAGAGGGAAGTACTTATACTTACACATTTTTTACTTTAATGCAGGGAATACATTATGGTAATAAATGTTTATGCTTTACAGCCACTTTAACTGTAAGAGTTTAATAGTCCTTTTATAATTATTACAGTGATATCATAACACTTGTCACCACTGTGCTCATGACAGTGCCCCTAATGCCTTTAAAAACATTACACAAGACTCAGTCGAATGCAAAGCACAGATTTTAATGAAGATGAAACTTCAAATATATCTTTTTTTTCATAACAAATCAGTATGATCTAGTTTGGCTGTGTTTTGGTATGTTATTTTTATGTCAGGTATTCCTAAATACATTCATGGCCTGCAAGACTTAGTTTAACCTCCCTGGCGGTATGATTATTTCAGATTTTTGGTGCTGAAAGCGGTACCATTTTTTTGCATGGAAATATGTATTTTTTTTTATTGTAGGCTGTAATTTTTAGGAAAAACTCACTGAAATCTGTCCGAACAAGAGTCTAGTAAACATCCCGGGTATGATAAAAATTTGAAACACAAAATCATAAATTATAATTTAATAAATAATCATAAAAATAATAAAAAATTTAATTCAATAATATAATCAAACCAAAAACACTGAAATGTGAAATAGAGCGCCAAGTTCGCACATTGCTGAGCTCAGTCGCAAAATCGTTTTCAGTTTCTGATGACGAATTTCCCCCACGAATCATTATCACTCAATTCTGCAAGTGGTTCTGATTTACTATCGCTGTTCTCTAGCTGATCTAAACCGCTTTTGACCTAAAGGGACATTTTTTGGACGCCATGGACATTTTTCTCAGTTTTCCAGGCAGAAAGAACAGACAAAATGCAGGCAGGGCACAGGACAAAGCACTAGGGACAATATGTATGTGAAATAGGTTGAAACAGCAATGTTTTACTGAGTAAAATGAAAAAAAAAAATGACATTTTTAAAAATTTTTAAATTTCCCGCCGCCGGCGGCTGCGGCGGCGCCCGTACGTCTCGACGTCACAGGGACAGGACACAGAAGCCAGATGCCGGCATCGGCCGGAGGAGATGGCCAGGGACGCTGCAGGGGACACATCGCGGGAGCGCAGGGTAAGGTAAGTGAAGAACACATGCCGGAGCAGCGCCGCATGGTATTCCCGAGTGTAGCTCGGGGTTACCGCTTTTGGTACTGAAATGTTACCCCGAGCTACACTCGGGAATACCGCCAGGGAGGTTAAAGTGGAAACTAACCCATAGCAACCTGATAAAAATAATGTTCTCTAGCAAAAAACATACATTCCACATTAATAATGATGCTACCAAAATTAGTGTGTGCTGTAAATTGCCTCCAGCATTGTTCCTATTTCTTCTTGCTGCAGGCTGTCATTTTGCTGCAGCCCAGAGCCCCAGAGCAGCAGTAAATCTTTAGGCTGTCAGCAGATGGACCTCTACATTTTGGCACAGTGCCTAAAAATAGAGAGCAGCTGAGCATCTGCAGAGCAGGGTGAGACAGTGTATTACTGGATTTTAAAAAGTATACAGAGCTATACCTGCAAAAAGGGGCCAGCATAAAGCTATCTAGCAGGACTTAATTTTCTGAATAAAGTTCCACTTTAAGGATCTACTAGACTTGTTTGCACTTGAACAGCATCTATTGGCTATTGGACAGTTGGAGTGGTGATCAATTCCATCTTTGCTATTTGATCCCTGAAACCTTTGCCTATTTTATGAGAAGGGCTGTACAAGTCTTGGCCAACAAGGTTTTGGGGTGAGGGCTGGGACATCATGGCAAACTGTATTAGGGTGAATCAATCACCTTTCAATGTCAGCCTGACAAAGTCGATTGGATGAAATGTGTTGGTGGAGTTTGAAACTTGCAATATCATTACTTAGAGGCTCCTAACATGATTGACAATAGGAAGTGGTTGCAGAAAAGAAAATCGGTTGATTCCCCCATCAACACAGTCAGTGCTGATGGGGCAATCCCTCCCATGGAGCCATTGTATTTTCCCAGTGGGGACGGCTATAATAGCTGTTAGCAATGATCGCATGTAGAATCGGGCAGGCTGTTTGGACCCAAGTTGACTGATTGATCAACTTGGGTACATTCAGCCTGCCCATACATGGTTCGAGATTCGAACTGTCTATGGCTGGCTTTAGTGCTCGGAGCAATAAAGAATGTAAGATACTTTTCCTGTGTTTGTTTTAACAAAGAAGGCTAAACAATAACTTTGTGTATCCTCATTTCTTATGATGGTCTGATGGAGCGAGGTGTATAGAGTGTTTGACAGTCACCATTTTTCTCTGAGAACAAGTAGGTACTACATTCAGAAATAATCCCCATGGAGGTGGAATGTCGGTGCTTTACCTCTATGTGTCTTGCCAGTACAGATACAGCTGAATGATGAAGATTGGTATAGCCAGCACTTGGTATAGGCTATGACTAAGACCTATTGCCAAAACACATACGCCATTTTATGTTGGTGCTTTATAAATACTGTATAATAATAATAATATGCACATTTTACTCATTCAATAAAGTTTAATATTCGAGAAGATTGAGTGCCGGCTATACCAATCTTCATCATTCATTAACCTCTGAGAACTTCAAACCACATTAGACAACAATTGTACAACACACTCTATCTGGCCATCTTATTCATTTAGCTGGTCAACATTGAAAGGTGAGTATATGGGTAACACAATATGAGCTATATGTTACTCACGTGACATGTGCAATGCATAAACATCATTGGAACATAGAGAATAGAAAGGGTGAATTATAGAAAAAATTGAGTCAAAGGAAATAAGTAAAATTTTGGAGTTTTGACAGTAAAGTTTACTTCCTCCAGGAAGTGGTATTTAAAGCTGAAATTCTAATCAGAATGAGTTTGCAAAGTCAGAAAAGGTACTGAATGACATTGCAAAGTCAGATGAGGTACAAAAGTAATTGCACAATCACACACAAATAGGTCCTGAATCAGCTCTCTATCAAAAAATGTATTTTTCTAACAAATGATATAGGGACACAAGCATTCTGGATGCTATTTTAGTTTGACTTTGTAATTAGGATTAATGATGACTTGTGTAATATTAATGTCCTCGTGTATTTCATAGCTGTGTTGTTGATGTAGCAATCACTTGATTTGCAGCCAAGAAAGAAAAAAAAAAAGTCAGTTTCTGCGTGAGAAGCAGCTACCAAAGGGGATAAAACAGGTAGCTTCTTGTACAAGTAATCTTGGCATCAAAGCCTAAAGCAAGTACAAGTGCTTCACAATATTCTTTCAAATAATTCTGCATAATATTAACTTAATTTGCGCTTCTAGTTCCTACAAGAACATGCGAAATCTAAAGTAAGCAAATAAAACAAGTAAATGTGGATTCTCTTGCTTAGTGATCTGACAGGTAGCTTTACAATACAATAGTGCTGCGGTTTCAGTTTAACCGTCCTTCTCACACATGTGTCTTAAGTAATGATGACATCAGCAAGCCCTGATTCCGCTGCTAAACACTGCTGTATTGATCTGACAATCATGTTAAGGAAGTAAGGAGTGAAGTCCTGTACCTTACCATCCAAATCTACTTTCAGGAAGAAGAATATCTGCCAGCAGTAACTTGGGTCAATAATGTATTTGTGTTCTTTCTTTATCTTTCTTTTCAAAATGTCTTAAAACACTAACAGACTTATCTAATAGAGTTCTCAAGTGCTAACTCATAAATGAAATAAAAACCAGTGAATCTTGTGAGCTGCTATCAATATATAGATTTTGGGAATAATGTGAATAGCCTGCCCTAATCACACTCCCATATAAATGTGTCAATACTTTGTATCTAACTAAGAAAGTGCTGCACTTCAATAAAATAAATAAATCCTATATACCATAACTCAAAATGTGATAGTAGTGCATTTTTATAATCACCAACATCATAAATATATTATACATGAACATCAGTGTGTGAAAATAGTTCCAAAGGACAGTCCCATATCCACTTGAAAAAACGTCTTCAGTTATGAGTAAACTTCACAAATATAAAGCTCCTTCCAACACTGCTTGTGTCAAAGTATTCATTCCAACATGGTGACATCCCACCCTTCACCAGATGTGCTCTCACCTGGTTTATATGACCAAACTGTTAAGTGAGGTCATGTCAGGAATGGACTCAGCACTGGTGGTGGGACTCACCTGCCATGTGGGCTGCAATACCAGGGCTGGCCAGCGGGTGCTCTCAGCAATCAGAAGCTCACTCCTGCAGGCAGCCATTACCTGAGGCTGAGCTGATTGCAGGAGGTGTATTTAAGGAATGGCCAGACCTGCAGTCAGTGCCTTGGTGTTGTTTCCCATGAGCCCCTGTACCTTGTATCCTGTGTTCCTGTTTCTCTGCCTATCTGATTATTTGCCGACTCTGCATTGTTCCTGACCCTGCTGACCGTCTCCTGTTTGACCCCTGGCTTGCCTGACCATCCTTCTGCCTGATCCTCTGTACCGTGCTGCCCGTGAGTTACTGAACCCGGCTTGTGACCCTGACCATTCTCTGCCTGATCCACTGTACCGCGCTGCCCGTGAGTTACCGAACCCGGCTTGTGACCCTGACTATTCTCTGCCTGCTCCTCCGGTACCTCACTGCCCCCACGTTGCTGACCTGGCCTGCCTGACTACACCTGACGCTACCCAGACGATCCATCCATCCCGCACGGATCCAGTCACCACTGTCCAAACCTGCCAGCCCCTTCACATCAGGCTTTCCCCCGATACATACCCTCGGCGGACCCCTCTACCACAGTTGGGTGCACTCAGGGGCCGCGACCTGGTCTCAGTCCTGCACCAAGTCCATCCCCACCATCAGGGGCTCTGGTGAAAAGGCAGACTGGGGCTTAGACTCCGCGCCCTGGGGAATCCTGTTCTGTGGGTCACTAGAGATCTCGCCGGGCGGTGCCTGACAGTACCTTACGGCCCGCCTGACCATTCCACCTCTCCAGCCCTGACTACGCCTGTGTTCCTGAAGCCTGCTACTTCCCTGTGTCAGTCCACACATCTCTGGTCATACCCGGATCCTTGACAGGTCATATAGCGCTTGTGTCCCTGCTGCGGGACTGATATGTATTCCCAGTTGGGTCAGATGAATCCACACTCCATAAGATTACACCTCTCATCCTTCTCCTATCAATCCTCCTCAGCCATGCATACATACGGAAAAATCACCAACATAGTGCTTACCCTTTTTCAAATTTATTGTCATAAAATAGTTGCCAATATATGAGCTCACATTTAAAAGATATCTAAGCACACCACACTGTATCGCACATCAAGTAGATCCAAAGGTGTACTTAAACTGATCAGTATACAGCCAGCTGATAGTTACCACATCTCAATAGGGCTCCTAGGAAGGGATGTAAATGCTTTCATGTTAAAACTGCTAGCCTACAATTTTAGCCCATATTCATTATATGACCGTAATTTCAATGTTTCTTAAGCTAAAATTGATACTTTGTCAATGTTCAAGTATTTATGGGGGCATCATCTGTACTCTAACCTGAGAGCAACTCCAAAATGGGCCACCTGACCTAACCAAACTGACTATTAATTGACTGACTAACGAAAGCTGATAACACACTGGCTTAAGATCCAACTGCTTCCCCCATATGTTGCATGGAATAATTTTATCTGTACAAAGTTACCTGTCCACAGGGTGGCATTACCCTCAAATACATTAATCACAGGAAGGCCCACTGGCACTATACTGGCAGTGAATGTTCCTTTTTATTTTTTAAGGACTTCTCCTATCAGTCACAGGCAAAGATCTGTCTGACCCCCTCCCTAGTGAAAAAAAAGTGAATAGGTCATGTGCAACCTTGAGGTCCTTTGGGAGCTGTACTGCTCTCAACCAGGATCCCTTCACCCATCCAATCCATCTTATGAAGCCACGGGGCCACAGAAGAGCATTATGCTTCTGCTGCCATTAGCATCACTGAAGCCATGGCAGCCTTAATTTCATATGAAAGAGAGGCTGCTCTAAGCACCTGTGCAGTCAAGTCTTGCTCCCAGCATATCCCAGTCATGGTGGTACAAACAAGTTGCTTCACACTGCCAGTACAAA